TCTAGCACATAAAATCGATCACTGAATCATTCACAGATAAGCTACTGCAGCCAAGATATTGAAGCCAAAATTTCAGAGATTGCTACAGGATATCATCAGTGAGGTTAATTTTATTTTTAAAGGGGGGGTGGGGGGTATAAGAAGGACTTTCCTGCCAGAAAGACTCAATCTTGGACTTTGAAAGATGAGGCATCACTACTGAAATCTTCGTACCACACAGTGGTTTGCTGGATATGTTACAGCAAAGAACTTTATAAAGATAAGCTATTCGTTGTCCTCTTAAAGACAGTAGTTTCAAATCTGCTGTCCTTTTCATTAGTAAATGCTGTCCATTACACACTGCCTGGCAGATATTTTGTTAGAACAAAAAAATGCGTGCAAATTCCCTGGCGGTCCAGTGGTTAGGACTTGGCGCTTTCACTGTGGTGGCCGGGGTTCAGTCCCTGGTCGGGGAACTAAGATACCACAAGTCTCTCGGCAAGGCCAAAAAAGGAAAAAAAAAAAAAAAGCTTAATCTGTTCTTTTAAAGATAATGTTCTAACCATGAGGAAGAAAGTGATTACTTTTAGAAAGAAACTCACGCTATGGAGAGAGCATTTTAGATTTTAGAAACAGATGTTTAGCAATCACTTGTGATCTGGTGCTAAAAATTATGTATGAATGTTACCTTTAACAACTATCAAGTATGTAGTTTATATCATAAAGTGAATTTTCTAAACTGTTTAAAAAAAATACAACTCCCAGATGAAGAGCTGTGGTATATTTGAACCTATTTGTTTAAAATATAAAAATGCAATTGCAACAGGAACAACTGACTGACATTGGGAAACAGCGACTCATCACCCAAATTTCCACTCAACCTTTTGCACAGATGGTAGGTGGAATTAAAAAGTGAGCATTATCGGGCTTCCCTGGTGGCGCAGTGGTTGAGAGTCCGCCTGCCGATGCAGGGGACACGGGTTCGTGCCCCGGTCCGGGAAGATGCCACATGCCGCGGAGAGGCTAGGCCCGTGAGCCATGGCCGATGAGCCTGCGCGTCCAGAGCCTGTGCTCCGCAAGGGGAGAGGCCACAACAGTGAGAGAGAGGCCCGCGTACCTCAAAGAAAAAAAAAAAGAAAAAGTGAGCATTATCATTAAGCACTCGGTGAAAATGATCCGCCTGTTCCAATGGTACATAACTTTTCCCACTAAGACAGCGTTTAAAACAACCAACGTAAAAAGAAACTGAATTTAGAACAAGATCTTCAAATCACTTTATCACAATGTGTTCTACCAAGATTTCCCAAAAAGATGCAGGTTGAATACTAAAAGTTTTAATGAGAGCAAAATACTTTATACTGCTCATAAAGAAAATTAAATTTTAATGACATTGTTTAGTCCATCATAATTTCAACCTTCTTTGACTTCTGTTTTTGCATATAATTTGTAATGTACAAGACATATCAGGATAGTACTCTCTGTGTTTAATTTATAAGTGAATATATAGGTGTGATTCATCAAGAGTAAAAGCCACTGGGGACTTCCCTGGTGGTCCAGCGGTTAAGACTCCACGCTTCCACTGCAGGGGGCACGTATTCGATCCCTGGTCAGGAACTAAGATCCCACATGCTGCGCGGTGTGGTCCAAAAAAGAAAAAAAAAAAGAGAGTAAAAGCCACTGGACTTGAAAATTTTCCTTGAGTGGACAAGCTCAATTTTTGCTAGATAGAGTGAAAACTTGTATTCCTTAATTTCACTGCATTGACAGTCCAGATTTGGGGAAATAAATAACCATGATCAGATAAATAATCATCATCACACCCGTCTTGAGTTTCCACCTCAGCCTCTCACCAAATATAAAGGCAATCAACTGTATCACTTCCAGAGGATTCCTGGATCCTCCCTTTCCATCAGCGCCTCTCCTCTGACCTTTCTCTCATTTTGTCCCTCCCAGTCCATCACACAGAGTATTAAGTCAACTTGACTGTAGCACGTGGAAAATTCAGAGCATAAACCACAACCAGTTAAACTAGAGTAAGTCCCCTACCTACGAACCTTCAAGTTGCAAATGTGTGTTCTCATGTCCAACTACATAAGTTAGTTCACATGTCTGAGGTACACTGTCACATGCATGCATCCTCTACAAGTCGTTGTGCTTTTGTGTACTTCACAGTACAGTAGAGAGTACAGTAGTACAGTATCTTTATTTCAAGCTAGATCTGCAAGAGGACAACTTCATCGAACTCCTTGCTCTGCAACATGAGGAGCTTACTGATGAAGACCTGACGGAATTGGAGGCCCAGAGAAAGGACCAAGAAAGACAAGGGGAAGAAGTAACTGAAGAACCGAAGAGATTCATGACGCAGGAAATGGCAAGGGGGTTTTCTTTATTTGAGGAGGCACTGTTAGTTTTTGAGGCACAGACCCGGATGTAGAACGGTACACGAAGGGGGTTTTCTTTATTTGAGGAGGCACTGTTAGTTTTTGAGGCACAGACCCGGATGTAGAACGGTTGCAGCAGCCGTTCAGAATGCAATCCAGTGCTACCGTGTCATCTGTGACAAGAAAAAAAGAGCTACTACCCAGACATCACTGGATCATTTTTTCAAAAGGGTAGACAGAATTGAATGCAGCAAGGAACCAGAACCTGTGCCATCAGCGTCAGGCGTGAGTGAAACTGCAGCTTGCCCTCTGTCTCCCGTTGCTGACGATCCTTCGGCTCTACCATCTCCCACCTCCTCTCCCTCCTCCAGTCAGTAACTCTTCTTGCAATGCCAGCCCCTGTATGCCAGCTGTTGTACTGTACTACTGTACTTTTCAAGGTACTGTACTGTAAAATTAAAAATGTTTTATCTTTTGTGTTTGTTATGTATTATTTGTGTGAAAAGTATTATAAACCTATTACAGCACGGTACTATATAGCTGGTTGTGTTAGTTGGGTACCTTTGTTGGACTAACTTTGTTGGACTTATGAACAAATTGGACTTAGGAACGCGCTCTCAGATGGAACTCGTTCCTATGTAGGGGACTTACTGTACCTTAGCACCAGGCACTGCGCACCACAGGCCCCCCTCAGCTGCTTTGCAAAGGGAGCAGTAACTAAGCCCCTCCAGGGGCTGCCACCCATCTTCCTAGATTCTTTTAACTAGTCCATCCTACCCTTACCCTCTAAGCACAAATTAAGTCAAGAGGAATAAAGACCCTTTCTCTTGGGGCGTAAAATAAACCCTCTACCCCTCTTTCTGGCTGCCTCCCTAATGAAACTATAGTCTGAAAGATTGTCCCTACTTTGGGAATTCTGCATGGAACTCCTCACATCAGCCCCTTCTTGAAATTCTTTCTTTCCCTTAGCTTGATGCCATTCCCCTTTCTCTAAAGATCATGCTTTCTCAGCCTTTCTTCCTAGCTGAGTTTTCTGCAGTCCTCTGTTTAATATGGATGTTCTCAAAGTTCTTTTTTTTTTTTTTAATAAATTTATTTATTTTTGACTGTGTTGGGTCTTCGTTGCTGCGTGCGGGCTTTCTCTGGTTGCGTCGAGCGGGGGCTACTCTTCATTGTGGTGCGCGGGCTTCTCATTGCGGTGGCTTCTCTTGTTGCAGAGCACGGGCTCTAGGCACGCGAGCTTCAGTAGTTGTGGCACGTGGGCTCAGTAGTTGTGGCTCGCAGGCTCTAGAGCGCAGGCTCAGTAGTTGTGGCGCACGGGCTTAGTTGCTCTGCGGCATGTGGGATCTTCCCGGACCAGGGCTCAAACCCGTGTCCCCTGCATGGGCAGGTGGATTCATAACCACTGTGCCACCAGGGAAGCCCTTCTATCTTTTTTTAAAAATTTATTTTTTATTGAAGTATAGTTGAATTACAATGGTGAGTGAATTACTGCTGTACAGCAAAGTGATTCAGCATATATATATATATATATATATATATATATATATATACATCCTTTTTCATATTTCAAGGTTCTATCTTTGACCCTCTTCTTTTCGAACTCTGCATTCCTTGGGGAAACACATTCGTTCTCAGGGCTTCAAGTATCTCTTTATTCTGGATTCCCAAATCTCTGTTTCTAGCCCTAACATCGCCTCTAACTCCAGATCACAATGAATTGTCAAGTAAGCTCGAGAAATGACTCACAGTCATGTCTAACTCGGGAGGTCCAAAAGACACCTCCTCTTCTCCCATCCTCCATGGTGGTATGTGACTCAACGGCCCCACGCTCCTTTCTCCATCCCTCTGCCATGTTGCACTCCTGCCTCCACAGCCAGGAGGCGAGGACTGCCTGTGCTTTCTGCAGCCTTCTCCGTGCACCTGTCCTCTGTCCCCAGCTCTGTGGATGCCTTGGTTTAAGGAGCTCCCTCTCATCTGCTCTCTCTGTTTTTGTTTGTTTGGGCCGCACTGTGCAGCATGCGGGATCTTAGTTCCCCAACGAGGGATCGAATCCGTGCCCCCTGCAATGGAAGCGCAGAGTCTTAACCACTTCCCTCAAGGGAAGTCCCTCTCCTGCTCTCTTAACAGAGACTTCTTCACTTATCGCTAACCTCTTTTCAAGCAATTTCTGCTCACCAAACAGCCCTTAAGCAAGCAGCTTATCACATTAAATGCATATACACCATGTTATTCCTTCCACTGGAAGAAAAAGCGCCCCCCTCACGTGATCATCACCACCCGCTGACGAGACAAAGCTGAGTTGAAGTCTCACCACAGGAAGTCGGGGAGAACACTCCTCAAAATGCTTGCACAGGGCTTCCCTGGTGGCGCAGTGGTTGAGAGTCCGCCTGCTGATGCAGGGGACACGGGTTCGTGCACCGGTCCGGGAAGATCCCACATGCCGCGGAGCGGCTGGGCCCGTGAGCCATGGCCGCTGAGCCTGCGCGTCCGGAGCCTGTGCTCCGCAACGGGAGAGGCCTGCGGACCGCAAAAAAAAAAAATGCTCGCACAATGTCTCATAGGGAGGGGGAAGGTCAGAATCAGGGGGTGGGGTGGGAGGAGGGGCGAGGACGGGAAAAATAAAATAAAAGAATTTACTGAGAATTGGAAGCTTGGTTTAAGGTGGGCCTATCAATGTGGGAGCTTGGCTAGGAGGCATGAGTCCAGGATTGATACAAACAGCAAGGTGAGGACTTAGAGGCGAGGGATTTGAAGAATCTTAGCGCATGGATTACTGTGTCCTTTTCATCAAGAGTTGATGGGTCTTTAGAGGAGTTCTTCTAAGAAACAACCAAACCATTTTCTGGGACAGGAGAGCTCTGGAAGAATAAAGAAATGCTAATTAAAATAACAGAACAGAAAGTGATGTTAACATAGACACTAAGGTATAGTGTAGGTTCTCAAAGTCCAGGCTGGGGTGGGGAGTGGCCAGTTCTGGTTCTTGCTGATTTTGCCTCTTCAGGGCCTCCCTAATTTGACTCTAGCCTCCTCCATCTCATCCATCCTGTCTGAGGTTGTGGTACCAGGTGACTGGAGAAGAAAGAGAAAACATGCACAGAAGTATCCCTAAACCTTCCTCTCTGGAACCTACTAAGTAATAAAGCATTTGGGTAAATAAGGACAATCTCAATTTGAAAAAAGGTCTGATCCCTTTATCCTTAGCAAATCCAAAGTAGCTTGCCAAAAAAGAGGGGAAAATCTTACCCTCTGTAAAACCAAGACCATCACAGGACTCCTCCACGATCAGGTGGGTAGGATCTTAGGGGCACATATGGCGGATCTGAGGAAAGAACTGTTTTCAATTTTCCTTCTCTTTATTTATTTCGTGTTAAAATATTTATATTGTTTCTGCTAGGAAGCTTGTCACAGAATAGATAATTTTCCTTTGTGATTACTATCCTAGCTAATATACCAATAAGCACTTAGAATTTAATAGCAAAAGCCCACGAACAAATATAAAGCCAAGGAAGGCTTACCTTTGCCTTAGAGCTTTGGCTCTTTAGGTAGAATTTGGAAAACTATTCTTTTTTTTTTTTTTTAATTTATTTATTTTTGGCTGCATTGGGTCTTCATTGCTGCACGCAGGCCTTCTCTAGATGTGGCAAGCAGGGGCTACTCTCCCTTGCGGTACGCGAGCTTCTCATTGCGGTGGCTTCTCTTTTTGCAGAGCACGGGCCCTAGGCGTACAGGCTTCAGTAGTTGTGGCGCATGGGTTTAGTTGCTCCGCGGCATGTGGGATCTTCCCGGACCAGAGCTCGAACCCATGTCCCCTACATTGGCAGGCGGATTCTTAACCACTGCGCCACCAGGGAAGCCCTGGAAAACTATTCTTGATCTGTTATCCCGGGCACTTTTTTTTTTTTTTTTTTTTTTTGCGGTATGTGGTCCTCTCACTGTTGTGGCCTCTCCCGTCGCGGAGCACAGGCTCCAGACGCGCAGGCTCAGCGGCCATGGCTCACGGGCCCAGCCACTCTGCGGCATGTGGGATCTTCCCGAACCGGGGCACGGACCCGTGTCTCCTGCATCGGCAGGTGGACTCTCAACCACTGCGCCACCAGGAAAGCCCCTGGGCACTTTCTGATAGTGAAGAAGTCATGAAGTATTACGTGCAAGTGTAGAAATAATAGGAGTGCTCACACTCATACCAAGCTATTCTACTTGTACGATGCGATTTCTTTTTTTTTTACATTTTATTTTATTTTTAAGATTTATTTACTTGGCCGCACCAGGTCTTAGTTTCAGCATGCGGAATCTAGTTCCCTAAGCAGGGATCGAACCCAGGCCCCCTGCATTAGGAGCGCGGAGTTTTAACCACTGGACCACCAGGGAAGGCCCTGCAGGTGAGATTTAAAGCAGCCCTTCCATCTGACAGACTCGCCTGCCTTTAGAGACCCCAGTAGTACTCTCTAGCATAGAGCAAGGTAGCAGTATAAGGTTCCACAGGAGCTCTCCCAGTACCCTGGTGTGGAGCTTTGAGGCTGAATCCCATCCTCAGTGCCAAGGTCAACAGTTCCACGTACTACCCTTCTTCCTTACCATTCTTTGTCCTTTTCTACCACCCCCCCATCACTTAGACTTTAATAATACACATTGCAGAATTAGGATATGATATGAGTGGCTAATAGAACCGTGGACTGACCTGGAGTTAGTTGATTTAAGTTATTGAATGCTTACTGGTGCAGAGCCCAATTCGTGACCCTAGTACTGGACCTCGGAGTCTCTGCGGTGCTGTTCCTGCTGTCTTGGATGGCTTTCCACAGATATTTACCAGCCTGGCTCCCTCCCTCTCTTCACTCATGTCTCTGCTCCATCATCACCTTGTCAGAGGGGAGCTTCCCTTGCTGCCCTAACTAAAATCGCCCCCTTCTATCTCTAGTTAGCGCTTTACTGTGTTTTATTTGTCCCATAGCACTTACCACTACCTGGCATTATATTTAAGGTTGCCAGATATAATACATCCCATCTTTGGAACCTACTTAACACTAAAAAATTCATTATTCATCTGAAATTCAAATTTAACTGGGTGCCTTGTATTTTTATTTGCTAAATCTGGCATCTTTCATTCCTTTCCCTACCATTTGAATGCAAACTCCATGAAGCAAAGATGTGGTCTGTTGGATTCACTGCTCTAAATCCCCAGCATCTAGTGTTCTGGAGTCTCATCAGGCTGGGCACACAGTAGGCACTCTGTGAGTGTTCAGGAAGGAAAGAAGAAAGCACAAAGCAACACGGCACCAACTGAGGACTTTGTGCTAACAGGGCAATGCATGCCACATTCCCATCTGGCTTCCACTGTCTCCTTGGAAAATTTTCAATTGTAACGGGGATTCCAAAGATGAAAACATTTGCTTTCTGGTCCAGATACTGGATTAAGACCACCAATATGTACCAAACTGCCAAACCCCAGTCAAAGGACAGCTTACAAATCCCACTGATACGAATCAGAATTGAGCCATAAATTTGGCAGTAAAAACAAAATCCTTTTTTTTAAACAACCCCTAACCATTCCTTGTCTTGCCAAGTGTTCTCCATCTACAATCACCGGATTTCCTTCCCCAACTGCATTCACTCTGTTCCTCCATGGCGCTCTTGTTCACATAAGCTAGAAAACAAAACTACATCCATCAAATATTGTCCTCAACGGCCAGTCTTTAAAATACTTGGCCGTGTCTAGGGTGATAGTTTGGGCAGCTTCATTTGATGTTCTGACAACTGGGTATTGTTAGTTTTGACTTGGTTACTTAGAGAAGACTTTGTAATCCTCCCACCCCCAATCACTCATGTGTATTTACTCAGCTAAGTAACTCTTGTGACCCGTGGCGTTCCTCTTATGGGTCTTTTCCAGAGGCAGGAAGCCAGAAAGGTGGTAGAAGCTCAGAAAGCACACCTTTTCCACGCAGCAGCAGAAAGTATTTCTTGCCGTGGTTTGATCTTTAATAGCTTCCACCCAGATGCAAACCAAGTTTTTTTTTTTCTTCTGCTTATTCCATATCTCACCCACCTGGAAGAAAAAAATAAATAAATAAAATAAAAATGGAAAACATCTACCTTTATACAAAGAAATAGCCACGTATGTCTTTTGTCTTGCTAATGCCTTTAAGCTTCGCTATACCTTCACCCTACAGCATTATTATGAGCAATGTATATCTCAGGATGTCTTGAAGTAAATGATGGGATACCAAGAATACAGTGGTGCGATACGGGAAGAAAGTGAGGTTAGCTGGCACAGTTTGCTACTGAGAGCCTGCCAGGAAAATTTCAAAGATCCAAGAAACAATCCCATTAAAGGAAAAAATGGAAACAGGTGCAAGACCTAAATGGCCAGGCATCTTGGAGCTGAGGTTTATAGAAAGAGATACCATACATACACTGGGTGGTTTAGCACTGGATCTCTTGTGAATCTATGTTCTGTCCAACTTAACATTACTTCTAAAGTTCATAAGACATACTCCCACCTTCATGGGCGAGCCATTTTCTGAACAGAGTCTTTATGCTGTCAGTAATTGTACTAGAATACAGTGAAATTTTCGTATGCTTTGGGTGCATAGGTTCTTGCATCTGTTTCTCCTGGTACTTCGATCTTTCTTGAGCCTCTAGGAGTTCCTTTTGCCTTTCCTAGGGAACCTACTTCCAGCACCTCCTCCTTTTCTAATCAGCTATTGAAACCAAGTAATCAAGTGTGTAAGAGCCATGACTAAACTAAGAGGAGGAGCTCCAAGTTCCTGGCGTTTCCTTCACCTGGCAGTTTGTAAGCTTCTCCCTCCCCCTACACTCCCCAGACCTGTGGTTCTAGGTGTGTGAGTTGTAGTAGCAAGGACAATACCCAACACTGATGCAGCCCTGACTCCCCGCCAGGTATTGTTCTAAGTATCTTGCTCTGTATCTATTATCTCATTTAACCCACATTCTCACACACACCTAAGAGTTGAGCCCTGTGATTATCTCAGTTTACAAATGAGGCTGGGTAATTTTCTCGAGCTCACAGCCTCTAACGATGGAGTCAGCATTCAATCGCAGGCAGTCGGGCGCCACGTTCTATTTAAAACCGCACCTCAGATGGGACTTGAACCCACAGTCTTCCAACTGAAACTACACAACTTGTCTCAGGATTTAATGAAACTCAGGTTCTTTATGTCTTGGCACAGAATGAATTCAGCAAGGGGCAAAGTGATAGGTAAGAAATAGATTTATTAATATAGGAAGCTTGTGAAGAATACAAGCCGTCAAGGCAAGACGGTTCTGCCCCGAGAACTAAGTGAGCTAAATTTTAATAATCAAAGGAGGGCTTCCCTGGTGGCGCAGTGGTTGAGAGTCCGCCTGCCGATGTAGGGGACACGGGTTCGTGCCCCGGTCCGGGAAGATCCCACATGCCGCGGAGCGGCTGTGCCCGTGAGCCATGGCCGCTGAGCCTGCGCGTCCGGAGCCTGTGCTCCGCAACGGGAGAGGCCACAACAGTGAGAGGCCCGCGTACCGCAAAAAATAAAAAGAAAAATAAAAATAATCAAAGGAAAAGTGGAGAGGGGGAGCAGACCACCTCACGTCCCAAGCCTCGGAACATGGGTCCCTGGGATGTGCTGCCAGGTGAGGGTCCATGGCCTAGCACAGGAAAGAATTCAAGAGTGAGCCATAGCAAGGTGAAAGCAGGTTTATTGAGAGAGATACACATTCCATAGACAGAATGAGGTCCGTCTCAAAAGGCGAGCGTGGCCTGAAATATGGGGTCGTTAGTTTTTAGGGGCTGGGTAATTTCATAGGCTAAGGAATGGGAGGATTATTCCAACTATTCTGGAGAAGGGGTGGGGATTTCCAGGAACTAGGCCACCACCCAGTCTTTGGCCAGCCTCAGAAATGTCATGGTGCCTGTGGGCATGTCACGTAGCATACGCTAAGGTATTAAAATGAGGGTATAATGAGGCTCAAGGTTACTGGAAGTCTAATCTTCCACCATCTCGGGCCTAATCAGTTCTAACCACTTTTTGACATATCCAGTTTTTCTCAATGGCTGTGTCCTTCTTTAAGGGTTGTGCCCTGCCCCCTTCCTCCTGTCTCATATTGACCACTACTCCACATGGAGTCCAAGCTTGAAAGCCCTGAGTCACTTTTATCAAGCTTGTGGACCTTGTCTCCTAAACACCCATGGTACTTAGGATAAAATCCAATTCCCTTACGTGGTTTACACAGCTCTCCAAACTCTAACCCTTGCTTACCTCTCATGCCTCTTCTCAGACCCAAATCCCCCCCCATCGCAAGGTACACTCCCATTGTCCCTCAGGGCCTCACTGTAGGAAGAAAGTCTTTCTTGCATTGAAGACTTTTGCACCAGGGCACTGAGGTTCTCCACCTCTGGCTGTCTAACTCTTACCACTCATGTCATATCTTGGAGTGAAATCGAGCGGGGCCCTGTGGGGCTCCCAGGCACGGAGGCCTTTTTTTTGCTCCCCCGTTTCTTGTAGGGAAGACTCTGGCCTCCATGACCTTCCCTGAGTTCCAAAGGGCAGATTCTAACAATTGCTAATCAAGGGAGGAGCAGCGAAGAAACCATCTGAGGCGAGATTAAAGGGAGCAGAGAAGCTCATGGAGATTAGGAGAGCGACCACCTGAGACGACATTAAAGGAGGGCAGGCCCTGCTCACACCCTAATCTTGTCAGAGATCCCGCCCTTGAACCACTGTTATAAACCCCTCATCAAATCCTCTGGGGTTGGGACACATAGTTTTCCCTTTCAAGGCAGGAGCCCGTTCTGTGTCCCTTTGCTTGGAAAAGTAATGAAGCTATCCTTTTCTACTTCACTCAAAACTGTCTCCGAGATTTGATTCTGCACTGGTGCAGAGAGGCTGAGCTTTTAGCATCAGGAGCCCACATCCTCTGGGGAGCCTCGGAGACCTTGTCACTGATGTTGGTCCTCTAGCTAGGCACTCCAGGAACACCCTGTATTTCTCCAGTGGTTGCGTTTATTCCCCGGCATGGGGGTTTCTTGTTTGTCTCTATCCCTCAAGGACTGTAGGCTCCAAGGGGGCAGGACCGCTATCTGGTTCAGCATTATATCCCCAAAGAGTAGCAAAGTGCCTGGCACATGGCAGGCGGCCCCAGTAATCACAGGTAATATTTATTCATTCACTCATTCAACACATTTATTAAATGTTACTATCCACCATACACTATGGTACTCAAGATTTTCTCATTTAATCCTTCAAGGATGACTTCATTTATTCTTAACTCACCGAACAACCTAGTTCATAGATTAGGAAAGTGAGATGTACTTTCTAATGTTTATTAAAAAAAAAAAAAGTGCCCAAGGTCCCAGTAGATACCAGGATGGAAGAATGGATGGGCCCCGGTCAGGGTTGGAGGTCACCAAACTGGAGTACCCCTGAAAGAACTCGGAACTAGGGTTAAAAGTCCTCCTTTTAGATGCACTATTTAAAAAATCTAATATGAAAGGCCTGAGATAGGTAAAGTCGCTTAAGAGACAAAGCCTGCCAAGGCCAGACTAGCCTGTAATCTAATTGACTGTATTAGCATATCTAAAGAAAGAATGTGTCAATCCTGGGGGGAATAAACTCCAGCCGGATTCCAGCTTTGACAGCGCCGGACCCAAAACCTCCCCCGGCGGTAGGTGCCAGCGAACGTGGCAGGTGTAGCCCGCGCGGAAAGGATGCACCGGGCAGCTGAATCACGCGCTTACCTCCTCCGCTCTGGTTCCCAGCGAGCCTGCACTCCGCGTGCAATTCCGCTTCCGCCTGCAGGGAGAAGCTAATAATAGCTCCCATATGTGGGTCTGCATCCTGTGCTAGGCGTCTTGCTACACTTCTTGTTGCATTTCGGCCTCACACAGCCTATCTTCCAGCCGAGGAACCCATGCTAGAGGGCTTGCCCCAGGTCAAACTGCAGCTATGGAAAAAGAAAGAGCCGCGATTTGGAGCCAGGCTCGCTCAGCTCCAGGGCACAAGATCACCTGCCTCTCCCTTGCACGTACCGCCCACACGAGCATGCCTGGACCAAGGAGAGCTCTATTTCTCTTGGTAGAAAAGAACTGAGTTGGCATGCGGGTTTATGCCTTATGCGGAACTGGTTCCGTGTGTCTTTCCTGAGAAACCAGTCCAGCTCAGTTTGTTGAGGTGGAACCTTCTACCCTTTCGGAGCCCTCCTCCTCCGCCCCCAGCTCCTCCGGCCCATTGAACAACTCAGCATCACGCACCCATCCCTCTATGCTTTTCCTGCCTCCTGCGGACACAGGAGGGAAGGGGGCAGGGCACAAGCTTTGAAACAATGACATAGCCTGAGGACATGACGTAAACGGATTAGAACCAAATGGGTCCAAGATGGTGGAAAACTTGACTTCCACTAGACCTTGAGCCTCAGTAGACGCTCGTTGTAACACATCAGCAAGCTAAATGACACACCCACAGGCGCCATGACAGTTCTAGGGCGACCGTAAGGATCAAAAAGTGGGCGGTGGCCTAATTCCGGGAAATCCCCGCCCCTTCCTGAAATAGCTGGAATACTCCTCCCACTCATTAGCCTATGAAATTACCCACCCCTATAAAAACTGACAACCCCAAACCCTGGTGCCTTTCTCACCTTCTGAGATGGCCCACACTCTGTGGAGTGTGTTTTTCTCTAAGTATATCCACTTCTTACCTATCACTTTGTCTCTCACTGAATTCTTTCCGTGATGAGACATCAAGAACCTGAGCTTCATTAAGTCCTGAAACCACTCAGACACGTGGGTTCAAGTCCCAGTCTGGGTTTTGGCCAAGACTCGAACCTGGCCAAAACCCACAGTATTCCAACTGAGATCACACCCCTGGTTTCAGGACCTGGTTAAGAGCAGGGGTGGCATATTCACCCTATATGCACTTGGGAGTGACCCAGGGGGTGCATCTGAAGCCTTGGCTTGGCCATTCTATGGCTTTGTGACCTTGGAAAAGTCACTTAACCATCCAAAAACTCAGTTTCACAATCTGCATAACACTTAGAGCCTCACTCCGCCCCATTCATTCGCAAAGTAGGTTTAGATAAAACAGCAAACCGGGCTTCCTTGGTGGGGCAGTGGTTAAGAATCCACCTGCCAATGCAGGCGACACGGGTTAGAGCCCTGGTCCGGGAAGATCCCACATGCCGTGGAGCAACTAAGCCCGTGCGCCACAACTACTGAGCCTGCGCTCTAGAGCCCGTGGGTCACAACTACTGAGCCCGTGTGCCACAACTACTGAAGCCTGCGTGCCTAGAGCCCGTGCTCTGCAACAAGAGAAGCCACCGCAACGAGAAGCCTGCGCACCACAATGAAAAGTAGACCCTGCTCCCTGCAACTAGAGAAAGGCCACGCGCAGCAGTGAAGACCCAACGCAGCAAAAAATAAAATAAAACAAAAAATAAATAAATTAAACAAAAAAACAGCAAACCATTTTGGCCTCTGCACCGAAGGCACCCAGTGCATGACTTTAGAGTTTTTCCCCTAGATCTATATAGACAGCACTGCAGGGAGAAGAGAGCAGTACAGTGAGAAAACTACATGCGGAAACCTTGTGACCTGTATTGTTCATCCCCTTCTCTGTGTTCCCACTCCCCTCTCCCAGGCTCTGCAAACACGCGCCAATGCCTCATTAAAGGCTGAACACCGTCCCATTAGGTCCAAATGCATGGAAACATATTCATGATTATTCAAATGATTCCCTCGTAATATAATCAGTGCCACCTTCATAAATATTCATTTCTCTGTGCTAATCACGATGTCATCTCACAAGAGAGTGTGCCTCTGTAATCCTCTTCCCTTTTGCCCTCTTCTCCACCCTCCTTTTGTCTGACAGTCTTTTCTCTACTCCTAAACCTCCTAAGGTCGTCCTAGGTCTTCACTATCTCATTCAAGGTAAAGATATTTCTAGTTCTGATTTAAAGGTATCTTTATTTATCTCTATCTGAAGATTATTCTACCAGGTTATCCTTTTTCTATAAAGTATGTCTGACCAAGTCCCAACAGCTCTAGATTCTCAGGCATAGACACATGGGCAAAGTTAGGAAATCATCATGAATTAAGCAAGGTGAAAGATCCCTTTAAGACTGAGGAGTCGGTGGAAGTTAATCCTTTAAATGAAGCCCCCAAGGAGCTTGTTTCCAGTCACTAGGACTTGGCACAGTGGCAGGGAAGAGAATTCACACAAAGAAAGGCATATCCGTACATAAGCCCACAGGGTGGGTCCCATCACAGCCCTGTTTTGGGTAGTACCCGGAATAGGGCTCAGTATAGTCTATTTGTGCATTGGATGATAAGGAAATGTCTAAGTTATTTATATCCTTTGATGGAAAAAGACACAAGAGAAGAGGACTCTTTACAGTTAAGGACTTTGGAAATTCTAGAATGGAAATAGAAATAACAAAATTAAAGGGGAGAAAAAAAAGGATAAGAGCAGGTAACACAACCTCTAGGCCCAGAGGTTGTTAAATGTGTAAGTATTCTATGTTGTATGCTACTCTGTTATAGGGAAATCTCTCTGTTGTCTCTAGTTTTACATGAGAACCATTTTACATTTCAAGCCTCTTAGGCTATAGGGAACACCCACTGTTGCTTATGCTTTAAATAAGAGACATTTTTCTTTTCAAATGAGAAGCAAATTGCTCCTAAATACAAAAAATGTACAGGATGAAAATGAATTGAAAATAGTTTCCAAAGCAATACTTTCAGTAATTTCATTTGTCTTCTTAAAGACATGAAAATAAGATAGCTTGTCAAAGAAACCTTCTGTTTCTGGAAAGGGAAACACAAAGAACACTACCACAGTAGAAAAAGGGCGCTTGGTGACAAAAACCATTATCAATTTTTCATGGTTGATTTATTATTGGTTTCAGGGAGATAAATAATATTATTTTCTAATCCAAAGAGGTCTCACACCTGAGATTTGCAACATCATTTTTAAATTCAACATAGCTTTCTCTCCCTAGGATTTGTCTTAAAGACTGGGAGTCCCCAGTTTGATTTAATGAGATTTACACAAAGGGAGTTGTCAGTAACCACAGAAACAGGGCAGGGTTTTCCTAGTGATTGTGCTTGAATTGTATTCCAGAATGAAAAGAGCCTTTTTAATTATAGGGTTTTGGGGGTGAGGGGAGCAGGGTGTGGGAGAATGGGAGGGGCTGGGGGGAGAAATGGATGTAGTTTTTCATGGTGGCAGACTGAAAAGTCTTTTATCTATTTAAAAGGATAGCAGGTGGCCTCCACTAACAAGTCTTAACCCCAGGACCTGACTTAACCCTGGAGAAAATATTTTTCGTTTTCAACCCCATGTGTTTGTTTCACTTCTTTACACTATTTTTTTTTATTATTGAAGTATAGTTGATTTACAATATTGTGTTAGTTTCAGGTGTACGGCAAAGTTCCATATATTTTTTTCTCTATTATTTTCCATTATAGGTTATTACAAGATATTGAATATAGTTCCCTGTGCTATACAGTAAATCCTTGTTGATTATCTATTTTGTATGTGGTGGTGTGTATCTGTTAATCCCATACTCCTAATTTATTCCTCCCGGCCTCTTCACTTCTTTAAATTGCAAGCTCTTCAGATAGAGCTTAGCAGGCCTTGTGGAGTGGAGGAAAGTTCAGCTTAAGACAGTTCAGAAGGTTTCAGATACTTCTGCACAGCAGACTTCCCGGAGGTCTCAACTTAATTCTGGGGGCAGCCAGGTCCAGAATCAGCAGCTCACGGGCAATGTGACCTGAGGGTCTCTGAAGCCTGAGACTGGGCCTTCCAGTTTAACAGAGGGGAGCTGGGAATTTTGACAGTGTTAGGTCATTGCAGCCCATCTGCATTTGTCTAGTTCAATTTCTCATCTCAAGCCTGAATTCATTCTAGCAAGTGGAAGTATTCTAGCAAGGATCACCATTTAGCTAATAAATGTGCGGCATAGGATTAAATCCCAACACAAAAGGTTAGGGCCCAGAAGCCGTCTCCACATGTGAGTCATGCTTGGAGGTCCAGGTCAGCTCAACATCCCCTTGGGTTTCTGTCTTCTCAGGATCCACCCCTCCTCTGCCATTCTTTTTATTTTTTTAATTAGGTTTATTGAGGTATAATTTATATACAGTTTAACTCTTGAAACATATGGAATAGAATTTCAGTGGATTAGCAAAATAGAAGTTTATTTCTCACTCTCATTGCAGCCTGTGCTGGTCAGATGGTTCTCCAAGCACTGACTGTGGGATTCTGGCTGTTCCCAGCTTGTGGTTCTGACATCTTGACAAAAAAAGATACCCAAATGGTGAATAAGCACATGAAAAAGTTCTCACCACCATGAGTCATCAGGGAAATGCAAATTAAAATCACAACAAGAGGGCTTCCCTGGTGGCGCAGTGGTTGAGAGTCCGCCTGCCGATGCAGGGGACACGGGTTCATGCCCCCGGTCCGGGATGATCCCACATGCCGCGGAGCGGCTGGGCCCGTGAGCCATGGCCACTGAGCCTGTGCATCTGGAGCCTGTGCTCCGCAACGGGAGAGGCCACAACAGTGAGAGGCCCGCGTACCAAAAAAAAAAAAAAAAAAAATTCACAATAAGATACCATTTCCTTCCAGATAGCTAAACCTTAAAAGGCTTACAACATCAAATGTGGGTGAGGCTGTGGAGCAACTGGAACGCCCTTACATTATTGAGAAAATGAATCATACACCTAATCTATGACCCAGCAATTCTGCTCCTAATTATCTACCCAAGGGAAAGGAAAACATATTTCTACAAAGATTTGCACAATAATGTTTATAACAGCTTTATTTATAACAGTCAAAACCTAGACATAGCCCAAATGTCTATCACCAGGAGAATGGATATCAGATCACCATTAGAGGGAGAAGCCTTGGATTTGCTGCCTCTGTCCCCTGTCATCAGAAAAGGAAAGTCTTTCCCAAAAACCTCCCAGCAGATTTCTCCTTAC